TAAAGGGGCTAATAATTTTGTCCCAAAAATAGTTTTTAAAAAATTCAAAACGGCTTTTATTCTAGCCGAAATAAAACAAATAAGACTTTCTCCAGAAGAAAAAATATTATCAGACATACTGTGAAAATTTCCTTGCTCTGTTAAACATCATTTGGGAAATATAATAAAAAAGAAAAAAAAAATCAAAAGGGGGGCTAATAATTCTGACTTCAACTGTGTATATATTTTTTTGCATTATGCTAAAGCTGCTTCATTTTCTTCAAACAGCAACAATCATGCAGCTCATATGATTTGCTTGTTTGTTTTCAAAGTATTGTGTATATTTTATTAAGTGAAGTTTACTTCTAAACTAATTTCAGTCTAATAATTCTGACTTCTGTATATTTGTAGTCAAATACACTTTATTTGTTTATATTTTATCAAAAGAAAAAAAAACTAAAACTTGTTTTGGACAAAAATGAAGTTTTAAATTTAAGACATTTATTAGTAATGAATACAGAATATAGGCAGAAGAATTACGTTTTAGAATATACAAATGAGTATGGCAGCTGTTGTTCTTAACAGCTCTAAAGTGAAGTTTTGTGTCCAGGTAATGATACACAGGGCAACTTTTTGAGCAGTTTTGTGGTACAATACTGTAAAGTGATAATGGTTGGCTATTTTGCTGCTGGAAATTGGCAACAAAATTTTTACAAAACAGTTTGAAGTGTGGGCTATTTTGTATAGGCGTATACATATTGTGCGGTGTAGTTACCAAGAAATGAAAACAGGTAGTAATGAATACTTTTTACTTAAGTACGTATTTCAGGCTGTACTTCTTTACTTTTACTTTAGTACAAAAGTGTAGTCAGTACTTCAACTGTTACCAGAGTCGTTTTAAACAACAGTATCTGTATTGAGTAAAGGATGTGTGTACTTTTGCTATCTCTGTATGTTTGCTGACAGGAATGAAAGCATGAAGTCACTTTTTAGCCATACACTGAAGCGCTGCTCCTTCTTTTTTTCTTCTTTACCAATAACAAAAAAAAACAGCAAAATTAGCATTAGCATAACAATCAAACATGCATGTGAGCGCATGTTTGTGGATGTTGTTAGTGTGGAAGATTTTAGCATTTCCCATGTGACATTTGGAGATAAATCTGAGCAGATGATAAGAAAGATAGAAAGATGCTATATGAGGAAGATTATAATGATGTCTGTACAGTCTGTCACGTAGCAGGGTCGCGTAGGCTTTCTGTGCATTCAAAATTAATAACTTGCTTTCTCTCGTTTGTGCTGGAGGATGTTTACTTGTCTTTAATCGCCTCAAACTACACAATCTGAATGTAGTTAAATGATTCAGAGGCACTAACTTCAAAAGTAAAGTTCATATGGGAAAAACTGTGCCTGGAGAAGTGAATCTCACGTACTGTATAACCTGGGAAATAAACTCCTCAAGTTATTATTTCACCCCAAAATCACCCCATAAAGACACAAAACAAGGCAAAAACATGTACTAAAAACATAAAAATAAAAAATGTAATGATTTAAAGAACAACCTTATTGTTAAAATGCAAAACTGATTATTTATCGCTGTTTGAAAGTGACAATAATTAAAATATAATCGCTGTATTTTAGTAATAAAAGTCAAATGATTCAAAATGAAATTGTAATTTGAATATAATACTTAAAATAAACTTTAAATATATGTAATGTAAATGTAAATGTAAATTCCAAAAAATGCTAAATTGTATAATCAACAATACATTTATCATGAAAAAATATTTTATATAACCCCAATAAATAAATTAATATATTAAACAAAAGTTATATTTTTTTATTATATATGGTATTATATTTATTATATATTTTAAGCTACAAAAACTATATATATATATATATATATATATATATATATATATATATATATATATATATATATATATATATATATATATATATATATATATATATATATATATATATATATATATATATATATATATATATATATATATATATATATATATATATATATATATATATATATATATATATATATATATATATATATATATATATATATATATATATATATATATATATATATATATATATATATATATATATATATATATATATATATATATATATATATATATATATATATATATATATATATATATATATATATATATATATATATATATATATATACATATATATATATATATATATA